GCCCACACCGCGTTCTCTCGTGCATTCGAGAAACTCCCTAGCTACGTATATGGGGACAAAAGCTGTCACGCGATCGAGATCTTAATTCTCGATAGCTCACCGCGATCCCACCTCTCGCCTTTCACGGCTACTCTAGATGGTTACTTCTGTCCGTCGCCGCTGGCGGCATTGCTCGACTGGAACTTTGCATATAAAACACGAGGTGTGCGAAAGAAATCTTCAAAAAAGATTTAAAGTAATAGAGATTTTGGTTAGATTTATTGGATGACGGTAATTCAGGCATTTATTAATAGTTATTACTAGCGAAATCTTTTTTCCAATATTTTGTAGGTTATGTTTGCTTTAATTTCGAGGACTTTGAGTGGTAACGTTGGAATATTTGCTTAGGAATTTTGGATAATGAATTTTATTCTTAGATGCTTTTAGGTTATGTTCCTTACTGCACAGTTTCCAAAATAAATGAAAGATAGTTAGTTTCCAAAATGAAATCTCGATCAACAAAGCGAACGAAAATCATATTCCAGCAATTTTTATGTACAACGAACAACCTAACCTAACTTCTCACCTAACTTCCATACCGTGCAATTTAAAATCAAACTGATCTTGTATAATTTAGTTTCATTGTAACCCAAGTTTATTTTCAAATTGCACAGTAGATTATCTTCGAGTATAAAAGTAATTGTTACATGAAAGTTGCTTCGAAGTTTATTTTTAAATTGCATAGTAAATTTGCAAGTATGGAAGTATTTGATAATCAGATAAGTATAATCAATAAATCAACCAGATTTCGAATTTAATCCGAAATAAGAAGCACATCGGAAACCATGCTAATGTCCATTTAGACAGCACCAAAAGGTTGATCGACTTAGGTGAATCTAACCCTAACACGCGCCATTTTGCAACGGTCGAGCTTCTCCACTTGGAAAACAATTTACACGTTGAAGCAGGTAAAGCGGGCAGTTGTATATTCCTTTTTCTACCTGTCGCGCGAGCGACACAGTGTTACACAAAGAAAATCGCGTCGGACAAGCTCGCAAATCGCTCGCGGGACTTTAAATCCCCGTTTCGTTGGTTACGTCGCGATTCAACCGGTTGAGCGTGTTATTCCTCTCCCCTCGTTTTGTACGTTTTATCCCCTTTCCTTCCTCCCTTCTCCTTCACCTTTCCACTCCTTTTCCTTTTTCCATCCCCCTTTTTCGCCTCTTTTTCGTTGTTTTCCACGCCGCGCGGGATCCCCTTTTTTAAAGCGGAACGAATAGAGCCGCTGGCTCGACGTCTGGCCCGATTACGCGCACGGAAATATTCGCGGAAATGACGATCCCGGTGGTAAAGGCTGGCCCGTTAAACGTCGAAGGAAACCGATTTCCGACGGAGAACCACCCCCGCTACCACGAGCGCAACGATTAATCGAAGTTTCTGTTCTTCCTTGGGATGCTTCGCCTGCGAGGACCTGGCAGGAGTAATTCGGTGAAGAGGATGAAGAAGGATTTTTCTCGATGGATCTGACGGTGTGTGATACTTTTTGAGAACAGTGCCACGTTGAATTTTGTTTTGCGTCGGGAATGGGATGTTCACCGCTTGACGAGTCTTTCGCGGAACTCACTAGCGCCACCACGGTCCATATCTCCGGTCAGCGTAAATATCGTATACATCGCCGAATTGTTTTCAAATTTTACTGACACAATCTTGGAACTTTTTTCTCACCGCGTGTACCATATTGTTTGCACGATGTTATTTTCACAAATTTTTCCGTCGTACACGCAGGGCCGTACCCGTAAAGGGGTTGCACGTGAGAAAATTGTGCGTGTGTATTTAAATGAACGTGTCTATGGAAAATATAGGTTTTTAATGTGTCCTTAGAATCTTTTTCTTTTGGTATTACACAGTTTTGGAAATCGGATTAGAGTATAATGGATTTTGTTGAAATATAAGAAGTTTTTAATATTCCTTGAACTGGTGTGTCGTTTGTTTTTGGTATTACATAGTGTAGAAGTTACGTGAGTGATTAGGTGATTATCCTATTTGGGACGAAAGGTTATCAGACCACCATAACATTTTGGCTTTCTTATTTTTTAATGTCAAAGGTAGCATCCGTGGATGTTGAAGATGGTATCTTGGAAATGAATCATAGGAATCGTGAAAGTCAGGTTGAAACACAACTCGACCATTCTTCTCAAACATCTTCCAATCTTCCAACACGAGCTCTATGTGTATGGTATTTTCTTAATCTACTCCAGACCCAACACACTTCGAATAACCCCGGTTAATTTCGAAGAAAAATATTAACAACAAATATTGATCCTCGGCAACCTCGAGTAAAATAACTGTGTATATCTCGGGAGAACAAGGAAACAAAAGAAAGAAAAATAATTAACAATTATATGTTATTTTCACAATTATTTTGTAATATTTATTTTATAATTTCTCAAATTATGTAATAAATTATTGCCATGAAAATAATAATTTATTACATAAGAGTATAATAATTCTCTGATTATAGCTTTTGTCATAATTGAACCGGTGATTGTGGACACGACTTAAGTAAATATATAATTTACTTCTCTCGGAAAAGTTAAGAAACCTAATGCAACGATACTATGTTCTACCATATACTTTATACATTTTTACGAATTCCATTTTTATTTAATTTCTTACTCAAACCAATTTTCTAATTACCGACACAATTATACATGCAAACGAATTTCCTAATTACAGTCGTCGATTGTAAGATAGATAAACGTAATCCAAAGTGAGCGAAAAAGCCACTTTTCTAATTCCCACAACACAATTATGGAAACATACGTTATTTTCTAATTACAGCTATCGATTGTAAAGCAGATAAATGTAATCCAAAATAAAGGGAAAAGTCACTTTCCTAATTACCAACACAATTATACAAATACAAAAATTCCCCGATTATATCCAAGGTACGCTGGAAAAATTTGTCATAAAATAAATGGCTGCAAATCGTTTAAATCCTTTGCCCTCCCACCCTAAAGGCATCATCCGATATTCATCCCGATGTCCCTCCAATTTACTTACAATTTACGAAACGTTAACGACCTGCTTATCGAGCTCGACTGTCACTAAAGGACACTCGACGTTAACGAAGAAACGTTCCAGTGGTCCTCGTCGCGGGCCACGAAATTAGTTACGCCGGCGAATCATCGTGCCGGTTGATCGATAATACAGGCAACGTTCCTAATTACCCGAGACGCGTGTTTCGACCCAGCAACGACCGGCAGCGAGCCGTAATTTCTCTGCGTTGCACCGCGAGTTGCAACGGTAATTTAAGATGTAACGTGGAACGCCGACTAATTGGTCAATATTTGATGTTTCCACGGGAAACTGTAGTAACAGCGGCTAATTCGAATGAAGCGTAAACGAATCCTGGAAAATACACCGCGACCTTTACTCTAATTACAAGAACGAATAATCTCCAAACGAATGTCTCTCTTTTCTTCAACGATTTTAACGAGGAGGCAGAAATCGTGGGAAAATTAAAATTGGCCTCGTACCACTTGGGTAGAGAGGCATCCCCTTTAACCCTTCCGCCGTGTCACCCTTGAAATTGTAGTGGTGCCGTTGGCACGTGTAGGTGGGTAGATGGAATTTTTGATAATGTGCACGAAAGTGTGTGTGAACGTGTTTGAGTGTTGCAGGTGCTGGAGTCCTTTTTGCAATTATCTAATTGTGCTAATGTGTACTCGAATGTGGAATGGTATATGTGGATGGTAATAGTGTTCGATGAAATTAAATAGGTATAATTAGGCACTTTTCTATGTGAAGTACTATTCGTTACGAGTTAGTATTAATTTTGTCGGAAACAGGTAAAATGTCTTTACTGATAGTGAAAAAAATTTTTTAATAATATAGGATATTATATATAGCGACCTAGAGCTCTGTCCAGAGTGATATTTGGAGTGAGTATGGAAGGACAAATCACCGGGCTCGAGGATTAGTATGAATGGGATATTTGAGCCGTTCACTGCACAAATCGATTAATTCCACTTTTTGAAAAATCCTAAATTTAAGTGTCAAAGCACTTGGTATAGTCATAACTTTTTATATTTATAATAACTTTCCCTGATAATTGAGATTAACACCGTTAAATGACAAAAATTTGTTGGCCACTGAATAATAAATAATTTATTTCAGAGGTCACTTTGATTAACTCCGTACTCTAATGTAAATCGTTGCAATAATGCAACTCAAATGCACTAACAAGCCATGAATGATAACGGTGAAATTTTTAGTGCCGTCTTATCAGAATTTAAGTAAAATTTAGTAAAATTTAAATTTATTACTTTTTTCACTTGCCAAATCGATTAACTCTTCCAGTAACGTAAAAATGGTAACATTACTAACGATTACCTTTTGGCTATTTTTTCTTATAAATTTTATATAAATTTTATATACCGTTAGAAGAAAGTTACATTTGTATTTGTGCATTCTACGATATTTATTTCGATTTAAATTATAAAGGGAATTTTAAAAAACAATATACATTATTTCATTGCATTTCACCACTTTTTGTTTTATGGAGTTAATCAATTTGTGCTGTGAACGGCTCATTTGTGACCGTATAGAGTGCGAGAAATGAGCAAAAGTTTTGAAATGCGTGTGTGAATCCGTCCACTTCTGTGAATCGCAAAAGGATCGTACTTCCGTTCAGTTTCATTCGTAAGGAAAATAGATGAAGGTTCGAAGAGGTCGTATTCACGAAAGGTTCGTAGTAATTCGTTGGAACGCGGACCGAATAAAGGGAATTAATGGACAGCGAGTCGACCTATTCGGGATTCTTATTATCTCGGCTCGTACGTCGTCCACGACGTTATTAACAGCCTGCGCGATTCTAGTCCGCGGCGCGGGCAACCTTCCAACGGGCCGACTCTTAAAAACGAACTTAAATCCAGTAACGCGCCACCGATAAAGCTCTACAAGCCACGGGTCTGCCTAATTGCACACGCATGCGTGGTACTCTTAAAATGGCTACTTACCTCGTCACCCTTTGCGTGGCGCCACCTAGGACCGATCCCTCCTCCTTCAAGCCGGGGTAGAACTGAAACAGAAGACAATGATCGTGTTAGAGGAATGAAAATCTTGTATTAATAAGATTATAAATGGCCAACGACGCTATTAGATACCTTGCTTTAGGATTCAAGTTCCGATGGCGTGTGCCATAATCAACAGAGTCGAGACACGTCGAGACACATCGAAACACTACGACCGAACGCGGCGAACAATAACACGTAACTGAGGCTGAAAGACGTCGACGAAAACCGACCATGAGCCTGGCCAATGATGTTTACATTGGATTCTATCTACAAACCACGCCTCTCGCTCACAACTGTCGTGTTTGACTAGATTCCCGAGTTTCGAGTCGCGCATGATATTGTAAACGAAAGAATCTCACACGAAATAACTCTGGAGTTAAGGAATACGCTCTTCAGTCACTGCAGGCACGTGAATTTTTGGGATCTTAAGGATTTTGAATGTGGAGGACGTTTTTGTAAGCATATCAGGGATTGGGAACCTTAAAACTGAGGACTAGGGACTTTTGGTACACCTCTGACGTTTGAGGAACATGAAACTTTGGGATTCTGAGGATTTTTAAGGTGGAGGACTTGTCTATGGACTTGTTAGGGATGTAGAAGGTCAAAGCTGAGGATTGGGGACTCTTGGTATACCTCTATCATTTGAGGGATGTGGAACTTTGGGGTCTTGAGGACTCTGAAGGTGAAGGACCTGTCTCTGAGCATCTGAAAGGATATGAAAACACAAAACTGGGGATTTTGGGATTGAGATACCCCAATTATTAGGAATATGCAACCCGAAAATCACTGAACCGAGGATGAATGGTCTCACCAAGGATATTTATTGGATCTTAATGATTTCCGGAATCGCCAAATACAGATCTAACAGAAATCCATTCCCAAGTTGGAACCCAAATCATCTCCAATACCCACTCGTGATATCCCATGTATATACCTAATAATAAGTTACCTAATAGTAAGTCACCTGACCATCTCAGTGAAACCTTCATGCAAGGAATAATTTCAGTCCTCGACTCCAGGATCCTCAACTTTAAAGTCTATTTATGATTCCAGACCCTAGAATAAAGATACTCGATCTCACACGTACCTAAAAGGATACGGATGAAGCAAGAAATGACCTTACTTTACCTTAATCTCAGGATAGCAGGGAACTAACCTAACAATATTCGCTTAACCTTTTACCTAACTCTCGTTACTTTCACCTATAACTACTCTCAAATCATAGAGCTCTCGAGTAACACACGCGCCATATAGGGAACTCCAGGAGGCCATCTTGACTTCCCGCGAACGTTCCCAAGATGGCTGCCCTAAGTTTCCTTACGTTCGATGCTCAACGAGCGTCGCAGGGACACAGGAAGCCCGTGTAATTTTCTTCCGTGTCGTTGCGTTTGACATATTCTCCGCTTACATCAGCTCCACCGAGCTTTTCCCATTTGCCGCGCGAGATTACACGACCATCGGTTGTAACCAATCCGCTACCATGCTCGATCGGTCCTTAAAGACGGCTAGCGCGGCGCGTAGACGAGTCATTAACAACACGGATAGCAGATCCTGCCTGCTCCAACCAGCTCGTGGCAATCTGGAGCCAATTTACTACAAACATACGACGTTGAAGAAGAATCGAACGATCCATCCTCGAGAGTCGATTAAGCTAATTCGGTTTGCCTGTCTCATCGGGTGCTGAACATTTAACGTGTTTCTGGAAGAATTAGCTCGAATGAAGGAAACTTCAGTGCAATAATAAAAGGGCGAGAATGAATTCTTTCTTACAAACGGCAATTTCGAATACAGAAGAGTAACCAGATTAGACGATTATTTTGAGGTTAGGAATCGTGTTTCCGATATTGATCCTTCGCTTATAGTGGATTTCGAGCAATTAACATTAAAATTACTGGATAATGTGTAATAAATAATTGTATTAGTATGATGAAGAAAAAGTAGTTCCATATTTTCAGAAACTGGGGAAACGAAATATCCGAAATAAGTCAGCTTGGCTTTATAACACGTTCTAGAAAGTCTAAAGCATTTGCGATATATTTGGAATTATTTAAATTCCGTGAGCCAGTTTCCAGAACAATCTTAATTAATTAAGTAGAGCGGGATGTTAATTTAAAGAAATCTGACTGGGTAATCTCTCCGCCATGTTTCGTATTATATATCAAGAAAAAGCACCCTCTTGAACGCGAAATTAAAATGCACGAGCTGTGAAAATTTAAAATAAGCATCTAAAAAGAATGGCTACAAATATCATCAGTATTAACATACAATAAAAAAAATCGGTGACCTTGAAGTACTTTAATGGATTTCCCTTTATCACCATGGAAACATCATAAAATAACTAAATATTCCCGTCCACCCTTTAATTTTTCTTTTCCCTTAATTTCTAACAAGGAGAAATCTACATGTCCGATTCAAGTGAAACACCCTGTATATATCGTTGGGGATAAACTCGTATTAGGGTAACCGAAAAAATTTCGAAGATAAGGCTGCCAAATTCGCTGAGTGAAAATGTCTAGACAATGAAAGTCAGCAAATTTTTCCGCGTTACAACGAACGAGGTACGCGGGACGAAATGAGGATCTCTGACGTGCTTGAACTTCGCGGCAGTCACGCGGGGACTGCTTTAAAATTTAAATGATGCGTGTCCGTGTCCGTCAACGCCACCTGTAAGTCCAATTTAATTTCGTCGGAACAAGCCTCGTTGGGAGATTTCATTTTTCCACGTTCGTCAGAGGACACGCGGTGACGCACGCGTGAAGGAATCAATTTTTGCGGGACAATGCCCGGAATTATATTCATACCGTGGAGCGGCCCTTACCCCCACCACGCGCCGCGCGGCCATCCCCGCCACTCACCGCAGCGCTATCCCCACCATTCGCCGCGCGGCTATCCCCACTCCCGCCGGATGAATATTTCAAAGTCTCGCGCCATCGACAATAACCGTATCTTTTACGCAACGCCGACGCTGAACTATCGAGCTGCTTTCGGTTTTTATGGCCCACGATCGACTTTACGATCGGCCTAGGCACGCAAAATCGCAACCGAATTACACCCGCGAAATGATCGAATGCCTGTTATTAACAGACAGGCGAAATTTATACCTGCATGTACGCTTTTAGTTTGCATGAATTCCTTTCAGATTGCACACAGTACTTTCTTCGGGGAAGTTAGATGTTCGGTGGACGAATTTTTAAAATAAATTTGTAGACGTTTCGGTAAATTATGTTTTTAAGGGAAAAAGTCGTTTGGTGGATGTATTTTTAAAGGGGAAAAATTTTTCTAAAATCGTATTTTGAGAAAATTGGTTCTCAAGTGAATGAGTTTTGGAAATGAACTTCTGCCAAAGGTTTCTCTAAAATTCTCCTTTTAAAATGTTAAAATAATTCGAATAATCTAAATAATTTATTTGAAGTAAAATTTGATTGAAATAATTGAAAAATTATTTATTAAAGAGGTTTAATGAGAATAAATAACGCGAATTTGGGAAATAAATTTTAATTTCTTTTTCATACTGAGTAACTTTTTATCTTTCTCATGACTATTAAAAAAACTTAATAATTATATTGATGAACGTGGAATTTTTAATGCAAGATATTCTGTACCTTGATAATACAGTGATATTGTAAAACGGTTTCCTGATATTTTTGAAAACTCAGCGACAGGAAGGCTATCGAATATCTTCCAAACTAATGGCTTTCGAATATAATACTTTAATACATTTCAGTGTGGGATTAAAAATATATACCGTTCAAAAAATAAATGTTTCGTTTAAAAAGCTGGCGTTCACCTGGAAAACCTGGTGAAATACCTCCACTGCTGAAAGAACTCGTACACCGTGTAATGCATCGCGTAGAATCGTGAAATTTTGCCTCACGACACTTTTTCTGCTGATTTTTCTATTAATTGCGTGAACGTACGACCCAACACCGTGTCATACTGTCGGAAAAATTATAATAAATATCTCCTTAAGCTTCCAAATACAGTATCGCAATTGTCCACTGGACAATATGATTCGCATTGCACGCAATCCTATATTCCAACCAAATCCAATCAGAGAGAATATTTAAATCCGAAGAAATTAATATTTACAGTTTAATCAAAAATTGAAAGAAACGTTTTTCAAGTATCAATTAATCAATAGTTTTTAAGATACACGTTTTATAAAACCTAGAGTAAAGTCCTGATTTGACTGAAATACAATCCTATTAATCATAATAATTCATAACTCATAATTACTTAATTTTTAATATCAAATATCTCTAATATTATTATTAATATACAATAATTTTTAATATTTAAATATACAATAATTTTAAATATTAAATATCTCGGTATAATTATTAATAACAGTTTTAAATATTAAATATCTCAAACACGACCGCATAAAATTTTTCAAAAATGGTCCAATGGGAAAACGGAACGAAATTTTCGGGCCTACGATAAAATACAGAAATTGGAATGTCATTTGTCACAAATTACACGTCGAAAAATGCATATTAAGGTAAAATCCAATCAACGCGAACGCCATCGAATGCGATTAACGAAGTTGATTCGCAAACGGGAAAAGTCGAGCTCAAAATCGAGCAGCTTCTATTCGAACGTTGTTCAACGACTGTTACACGTATTTCAAAAAGCTACAGTCTGCCGAGCATGTCTCCTCGATTGCCTCTCGGGCCATTTGAAACCGGAAGACTCGTCTTGCAGCCGCGTGCACAGGAAGACGGGGCAGAATGGAGTTGCGTTTGATCCCCGCTGCTGTCGAAGCAATTGTGCAATCACTACGACACACGCAGCCGTGTTGCACGGGTTGCATAATTCCCTTTTGTATCTGCGCGAGCACGAAAACACGATTACGAGAGAACCAGCATCGATCTTAACGGTACATCTCGTCGTGTTCGAGATCGACCTTTAAAACTATTTTAATCCACCATCGCGTGGACCTCGATGCAGGACCAGACAGCTGTTCTACATTCTCCAGGGTTGTAAATGACGGTCGAATTTTGCA